TAGGGAAACGTCCCACAGAGAACTCTCACAGGAGTGTGCTGGACTGATGAGTTTTGTGTGATTGCTTCTATCAGGGGTGGGATTTTCCCCTTTTCATCTCTTGGTTTGTGGGGTTGGGATTTTTGAGTATTTTGTTAAGAGATATATATTTTGCGCTTGAGGATCACACGGGTAGGAAAACCCAACGTTGATGGAACACTGAATATATTTTCTTGGACTGTGGACTAGGATCCCTCCCCTCCAAAGACTGACGTTTTAAATTTGGACTAGATAGCTCAGCTTGGTTCCTGACTCTCCTTCCCCTGCCACTCAGCAAAACCCAGCAGAGTGACAGCTGCAAGTTCCAGAAGAGTTCGTCTCCCCTCGTGGGACTGCCAAAAGCAGTAATGAGATGAATACCTGTCCCTGAGCTACGTCCCAGTGTTAGGTTCGCGGTTGGAAGGACCAGCTGTGGGGCATAGGTCCTCGAAAGGGATCGGTGCAGGGGTTATAAGTACTCCTTGGCCAGGAGGCCCCGCCTACGCTGTCTTTTTTCTAGAGAACTGAAATCATGTTCAGGAAAGAGCACAGCTTGGACAAACTGGAGAGATGGGTGGTCAAGAAAGGACCGAACCCACGGGAGCTGGGCTCCTTCAGAGTCACTGACTTCCTGCAAACACCGTGTGATGCTTTCCAGGTGCAGTGTGAATCCAGAAAGTTGTGAGGCTCCAAGAAGGATGCCTGTGCGGCTTGGGGTTTGTGGGCTGCGCTGAATGACAGTGTGAGCCTTCTTAGGGAAGCCAATGAAAAGCTTGAGCTTCAGGCTCGAGAGTTAGAGAAGCTACAGGCTGAGAAGTATGATCTGCTTGTAGACAAAGGCAGTATTGCGACTGCTGCCCAGAACACAAAGCTGAAATTAGAGGAAGCAGTTAACTAGAGCAGAAGCCGCTGAACAGAAAGTTGTTCTTTTAGAAACACAGCTTGGCCAAGCCCAGCAAGCTGCCCAATATTTGGCAAATCAAGCCAAGGTTCAGCACGCCGAGGTCAGCCACGAGGCGTGCCAGAAGGAAATTGGATCCCTAAAACAGCAGTTTGGACTCCAAAGAGCTCTGATTGCACCTGTACACCCAGAAACTCTCATCGGTCTCCCAGATCAAAGAGCTTCCGAGGCTCTGCCGGAAGATGCCATCTCCAAAACCCCTTACAATCCTGACTGGGACAATCCTGTTCCTGTGAACCCAGTCAATGTAAAAATAATGGACAAGCGCTGTCCCAATGGATGCACTGAGCATTCTGAGACCCAAGAAAGAGTTGCCGACCAGTTAGGACCTTTTAATGAGGACACTGGAATACCTTGGCTCACCACTGTTTCTACTCTGCACTCCCAATGCCCATGGGAGTGACCTAACCCAGTTAGCACGACTTTGTGCCTCTGGAATAGACGCCCCCGCCATTGAGTTAGGGATAGCAACTCGAAACCTAACCTCCCTAAATATGTTTCTTTTTTTCCCCGAAAAATTTTATTGTCAGGATATCACATCATTCCAACATTATCACATATTTGATACTTTCATACCCTTTTCCCTACTCCCCCCCCCTTCTACTGGCTTCCCGCAGTGCTCCCACCTTCCTTCCTTATTCTAAATTTTGTAAATTTCCTTTTCTTATCACACCTTCTAAAGTTAAATTTTACTAGGTAACATTCACATAAACTGTTGTCTCTATATATCAACTATTTCGGAATTTTTGCATTCTTAATAGTTGTCAAAACCAAATAAAGTATTCTTCACGTCCCAGTACTTTCCCAAATATTCCTTAAAGTCCTTCCAGTCTTCAAATAATTCCTCCACTTCTTGATTGTTAAGTTTTCTAGTCAATTTATCCATTTCAACCATAAAAAGTAACTTTTTTATCCATTCCCAAATCTCAGGAGTCCTTTCTTGCTTCCAACATTGGGCATAAGTCATTCTAGTTGATGTGATCAAGTACCATATCAAAGTCCTCTTTCTTATATTCACCTCTTCCATCTTTAGTCCCAAAAGTAAAATTTCTGGTTCTTTTTTAAAATTACATTTCAGAATCTTCTCCATTTCTTTATGAATCTCTGTCCAAAAGTTTTTTGTTTTATCACATGTCCACCACATATGGTAAAATGACCCTTCTGTTTTCTTACATTTCCAACATTTGCTAGACATGTT